AAATATATATTTCGTCTACTTGATCGAAATAGGGCTCACGGCGGGTGACACTGGTCAACAAAGTATGGTCACTCCTTCTAAGTACTTGATCCCCCTCTGAAATTTCCAGGGGTCCGTGTTAAATCTCCTACCACACAAGCTCAACTGATTCAAGTGACCTTCTAAGTTCTTCATATTCTGGAGCCCTTGCCAATGTAAAGAAAGAGGAGGGTACAATATAAAGCTAATTCCATTCTAACTACATATGTATACTATTGTTCATTCTGTCCGGGGGCTCTTTTTTACTACATGGTGTCCCTCTTTCGTATGAAATGTGGAATTATCTGAAAATTGGAGCATATGTCATGAGAAGCAAACCATTAAGTTCAAACAATACAAGATTAAAGACATTCAAGGCAAAATACACTCGAGTCCCATTTTTCTCTCATCAGAGATAAAGTACCAGCCTCGGAGTAGACCCATTTATTTGGTTTTCAAAAGCATAGAAATTATATTTAAAAAATATATATATCACATATGTAAAATATAAAAATAAGGCATAAAAAATGTTCAATTACATAATTTCTCAAACCAGGATTAAATTTAAAACTAAAATTTACAGTTTCTAGTTTACATTATGTTAATGAATAGTTTTATATAAGTGGTTTACAACCATCCATGAACTAGGTGCAAAAACACAAACTGAGTATACATGAGACAGAAAAATGTAGTAGACATAAAAAAAATTTATGAAAAGAGAAAAGTAGTTTTTAAAAAAGTGAATTGCAATGAGAAAAATGTATCAACTCGGTCACATACTCTATATTTTGTTATTTATTTACGATTATATCGAGATTTTCTACCCTCCATACCAAACTTGCTTGTAAAGCATCGTGGAACAAGATTTGCGAATTGTACTTTTATCTGTTTTGATAATCATGTATTTTTATTGTGCGGTTTCATCAATTACATTGCCCTTGGACTTTTTAATGTAAATTGAAGTAAGTGGTATCGATCGAAATGTCTCATACAAATCCACGACTTACTTATAAAGATATCATGTTCAGCAGGTTGTTAGTTGTTCCCATACATGTATTTTAAAAAATCATTCGGGTGAAGCATAAACGAGCTAGGATGTCCATTAAATTCCTTTTTGGTTATACCTTATTAAAATACAGTTTTTCCTCATGCAAAGAAAAGAAAATTAAACTGTGCTTTAAAGAGAAAGAGAGAGGGAGACTTTCAAGACTGAAAAAATAAAATTAAGCTTATAGAAGAAATTAAAAAAAAAAAATAATTGCATTCAATTATCCTTGACATGAACATATTATATAGAGCAATCAAGTCGTATACCAATCTCGATCAGAAATTCTACTTCAGATTACAACTACATTTCAAAGACAAACTGAGATTTTAACGGACCTCCTTCCTAATTAATCATCCATGAAACACGTAAAATGATGGGGTTTTTTTCTTGCAGTAGTGAGTTGTCTATATGACAATGGCGCCTTTTGTGAAGATTCAGTTATGTAATCTTTCCAGGATTGGCTTCCTGAAAGCATTGAATTCACAACAAAAGGAAGAACTCCATTTCTCTAATCTGTCTTCTTCTGGGGATTCAGAATTTACTAAATCTGCCCCACATGTATGTTTGACCGTACAGTCTCGTCCTTTTATGCTTTTTTAAATGAAGGAAATCTTAAACTGTTTACTTTTTTTCTTAAGAGGAAGCATATCAAAAGAAAAATTTTTGTGCAAAATTAGAAAATTTTATTGAGAAAATAATATGCATTTCCATAATTAAATCCTGTGTCAATGATAATTTTTTTTTAAACTTTTGTATTCAAAAGATCAATTTGTTACCATACAGAGCACAAGTATTTACTTCTAACAAAAGATGGAAATAACTCGTAACTATATGGTTTGCGATCTAGTATAAGTTAAAGTATATCATTGAGGGCGTCAGCAACATCAGGTGTAAATCAGATGTGGATACTTAAATATTCCAAGGAACTTTTGGACAATTTGAAATCACAGGATTTTACCAAAATCAACAGCTTAAAAACTGAAGACTTTTCAACTTTATACATGTACAACCGGTCACGGTAGCCTAGTGGTAGAGCGTTCGCTTCGTGATCGGGAGGCCCGGATTCGATTCTCGATCGCGGCGCCGCGTCATACCTAAGACGTAAACATAGGTAGTGACTGTTCCTTCGCCAAGCGCTCGGCACTAGAAGTGAAAGTCACGGGTCTTTCGGATATTACCTTAAAAACGTAGGTCCCGTGTCACGGTAGGCGTTGGCACGATAAAGAACCCTCACTGCTCAATGGCCCTGAGTGCCGAGTATAGGTCTAAATTTGAAGCCCTTCACCGGCATCGGTGACGTCCCCATATGAGTGAAAAATTCTCAAGAGGGACGTGAAACAATATACAATCAATCAATCACAACCATTTCCCACGATAAATTAAAGTCTAGGCTTTTTGATATCATTGACAGCTGCTTTTTCAATAAAAATGGAACTCGTAAATTTACTTACATTGTCATTGGTCATTTGCAAAATTATTTTGTTAAAAAACATTCTGATTATACACACAAGTAAACTGAAGTTGACATCAAAAAAGATGTTTGAGTTTCTAATTGACAATATCTATTTGGATTTGGAGACCAAGTCTTCCAACAATCCATTGCAATTCCCATGGGTACCAATTGCGCCCTGTTGTTAGCAGGCCTAATTTGTATTCATATGAAGCCCCAGAATTTGTGCAAAATCTTATAAATGCGTGCAAAGAAGAAAACACTTGCTGTGCCTTCAGTTCGACATTTAGATATATCGACAACGTATTGTCAGTTAACAATGGTCATTTCCATTCTTATGTCGATACGATATATCGAGCTTGAGATAAAAGATACCACAAAGTCTGAAATATATGTTTCATATTTGGTAATCTAACAAACAAGCTCTATAATAAACGGGATGACTTTCCAATCGTCAACTTCCCTTTACTTATGCAGCAATATACTCTCATCACCTGCATACGGAGTTTATATATCTCATTTGATTCGATACGCAAGAGGATGATCTACGTATGAATAATTTCTAAAACGAGGTAAATTATTGACAAACAAGTGGATGAAATAAGAATATCAACAGCCTCGTTTATAGCCATCATTTCGTAAGTTCTATGGTCGATACAATGACCTTGTCAGCGAATACAGTTTATCATTGAGTCAAATGCTGACTGACGTTTTTCATACTAATTGTAAGTCCATTATTCATACACTGAATTGACGACGGATTTTTTCCGCTATTTCCCGATCATGACAAGGAGCACACGGCGGTGTGACCGGCTGGCAGGGGATGCTCACTCCTTCATGGCACTTGATCCCACCTCTGATGTTTTGGAGGTCCGTGTTTGCTCTAATCCCATTTTGTATTGTTTAATGGACTTTTGAGCTTAAATACTGTTCCTTATTTCCATAAATTTCATGGGAATACCAAATTTACATAGAGTTGTTCGATCTCAAGAACTGTAAGCGTAGGCTATAAATTGTCCGACTTTCCCAGCACCCATGCTCACATACAGGTTGTTCCTTTGGTGTAGGGAAGAGATCACAAAGAAAATCCATACTTTCATATAAAAATGTATATCAATTTTCATTCTCAACAACTTTATGGCTTCGTGCAAATTTAGAATTATTCCGTGTACATGTAATCTCTGTTCAAATCATTGTCGTTGGATAGGAATTCAAAGGGATTATTATAATTTTTATTTTAATAAATTCGAAAAGAAACTTTAAAACTCAGAAACTTTGATGATTCTACAAATTATCAAAGCAATATACAAGCATTTTCACGTATGGTGTAGATTATTTTCATCAAAACATGACCCTTTAGCCATTTATAGAGTTGGCAATACCAAGTAACTGCAAAGTTTTACACGCATAGGAAAATGAATGTGAAGAAATTATTTTGAAATATTTTTCTAAAGAACTGTAATGCAACAATTATTCGAGGTCCAGTGTACAGAACAATTAAAAAAATCTTTTTAAATTACAAGGCTACAAAGCGTACGATTGTGTGCTAGATATTTATAATATTGAATACATAAATAGACATTCGGTTTTGTGGAAACATAGTTTCCAATTACAGAGACGGTGTCACGATTCTAAACGGCTAGATGTTTTCGTTTATTTAAGGAATAACTGTCTTATTTTTCGATTTCATGAAGTGATCAATCGATTGGCTTGCGTGATAATTTCGGCGTTTATGCATAAAATTATCACGCAAGCCAATCGATTGATCATCTTCATGAAATTGAAAAATCTGACAGTTATTCCTTATATTTACATGCTTTGATTCCGCCAATCTACGTGCTCCAAGCCCTGCTTCTGCCTAGCTGTTTCTCCCGCCCTGCACGTGGTTTTTTTTTTTTTTTGGAACCGCGTCAATACACATTGATGGAAAAATAAAGTACATTTACAATTGGTAATTTTATCTCGGACAAAGACATTGGAAATGTAAATATACAAAAATATATGGAAAAAATGAAAGCATGCAAAGATTACATGGATTCAAGATTGTTGAATACATGGATAGGATTATGGGGCACTGGCCTCCAGTTTAGCAATTATATAGTTAATACATGTATACAGATGAGTAATAGTGTTAAAACTATGTGTAATTGTGTTCTCATCGGCAATCATAGATGTTAGAATATACAGTCAGTGAGGAACTGAATGTTTATTGCTATAAAATAATCGGAGAAAAGTTTCGTCTAAGTTAAAAAAGAACAAGATATTGCTTAAGATCAAGTATGCTATAAATTCTAAGACTGTGAGACGACATCAAAATAATTAAATAATACATGTATTCATACATGCACCTTGTATACATAAACTGTATATTACTGAACACCATATTAAGGGATTTAACGCTGTAGTTATCTGTGACCTTGACAACCCTTCGAACGTGTCGGACAGTACCTGAGAAAGCTGTGCTTTACTACAAATAGTATATATTAAAGGATCTACTCGATGGTTGACCACTACATACGGATACAGCATCCGGGATATGTTTTCCGCCAAGCGACCTTGCTCATCTCCGGAAACGAGTATTGTCGCGAAAAGCCCGTGCATAGAGCATGTAGAGTGATAGACTGAATATTGTTCCTTCTGGTGTTTTCTTTGGTTGAATTTTTAGGTAAAAAAGGAAAGATAACAGAATGTCAGTGGAACTTGAAAAGGTGATAGGTGATATTCGAGCGAAGAAAGGGGGATACAAAAGTTTCGATGGACCTTCACCTGAGGATAAGACAGTGCCGGATGTTTTCACGGAGATTTTTAATTGGCTCCTTTGTCGTCGCAGAAGTAGCTCCGATGTCTCGGGCCAGTCGGGGGAGGAGGAGGGGGAGAGGGGCTCCCCGGAGCGAACACTGCGGACGCTGGAGGGGGTCGTGGCACCCGTGGCCCTCTCTATGTTCAGCGTTTTGCTTTTTCTCAGGATAGGTATGAGATTTTTTTTTATATCTAGCAGAGAGGAAAATATATTTTTTTTTATCAAATATGAAGTACTTACATCAGAAGTTACATAGTACATGTATGCATGTATTTTAATAATTTAAGATACATATTGGATTGATATGATGACATGATTACTTCTGGGAACAAAAAAGAACTCTCGGTCACTTTAAAGGTTACTCTTTTTCTATGTAGATTTTTAACTCCTAAGTTAGGTGTGCATGGATTCAGGAATTAGCGTTGTTTATTCAGCTGAACAGTATGCCTATGTACAGTTAGTATAATTATATACACTAATGAAACTAAATATGATTCAAAACCTCACATTTTAAATGTTTTTCTTTAAACTTTTTCAAAAACTGGCTTCCTTGTACAAGTTTACTACATGTTTACTCGTGTAAAATATTAATAATGATAATTTACTGATTTGGACCGGTTAAAACCGAATACTAGAGTTTGATTTATTAAGAGATAAAGTGTAGGTTTAAATTAAGTGATTGGTTGGTTACTTTGCGTACAATATAAATCTATATTTCGAGAGAGAGAGAGAAAATGGGCTATTTTAGACCCGTATATAGGCAAATTATTATTGATTTTTCACTTATACGCCAAAGTTATAGATTCTGACAATTACTTTGATCAATAACAAATCAACAAACAAACTTACAAACAAACAAAAAAGAACAAACTTACAAACAAACAAAAAAGAACAAACTTACAAACAAACAAAAAAGAACAAACGTAAAAACATACAAAAAAGAAACACATCTCGATCTCATCATCGGTCGTACGATAACAGCTAGTCTGGGCAGGAATTAAAAAAAAATTAAGAAAAAAATGAAAAGAGAGAGAATTCGTTGACAGTGTTCGCCGGCGTCTAAAGCTTTAACTGTGGTATGAGATTAAATGGAGCCTAAGAATGTTTAAATAACACTGCTGAATAAATAAATGTTTGATGGGTGGTTCAACTCGTTTTCCAGTTTTCTGATCTGAGAAATTGTTCACAGTTCAACGAACTGCTTGTCCTTGAACATTGAACAGATGTTGGTGTGAATTAATTTTGTACATAGTATTCATATCTAAATATCACTAATGTAAGCATGGTGAACCGCTTTTTTTTATTTGTAACAAAATATACAAACTATTTAAAATTTTTTTTACCTAAATAACACCGAGGAAAATAATATTTTGACGGGAAATATATTTCCATCAGCCAGCTCTGTATTTAGGACGAATCATATGACTTCCGTGTCACGTGAGAACACAAAAGATAGAAAATTGGGAGAAAAACAGCTGATTTGTATGGAGTGAAAAAGAAATGCTTCTATTTAAAGCCTCAAGGCTACAGAGTTATGTCACAGTCATACTCTATTAATGGAGAAGTGTTAGTACCAGAAAAAATGGAGGAGAGCTCACCGCTCTTACCGAGTTCTTCTTACTCGAGCTCTTCGGACCTTGAGCACGGTGATGAAGTGTGGGCACTCCGTCGTAGCCTGAGTAGTAATGATGCCGTGGGCCCCAAAATACAGCCGCGGGTCACGACTCGAACCCTTGGGCTCTTTGCCGGTGTATTTTGCCCTGTGGCCTTGTCAATGTTTAGTACATTACTGTTCCTGAGATCAGGTAAACGGCATCAGGAAGATTTTTATTTTTAAACTGATATTTCATTTAAATTAACAATTGAAGATTAAATCAATATTACGGAGAGAAAAAAAAGGGCTCAAATGGATTTCAAGATTGACCTAGTTTTGGGTCTGATTGAGGAAGTTGGTCAATTCCCACTAAATCCCAGTATGTAAAACTGGAGATACACCATGTATCTGCCATACAAGTCAAAACGGCACCTGGTGAAAACGGCACTTAGGAAATATGCAAAACGGCACTTGAGAGTAGTCAAAACGGCACTTTAGAAAAGTTAAAATGGCACTTTTTTATTTTGAGACTTTGATAGTGTTTATACAGAAAACAGATCTTTATATTACATTTATAGTAATAAATGTGTATGTTATTATCAGTCAGGGGCATAACTCAAACAAGTTATGAAAAAAATAACTTAAACAAGTTATTTTACATTATTTTACACACACAATTTTAAAAAAAAAAAATAACTTAAATAAGTTAGTTTTATATCCTACTTGGACATTGATTTCTTGAAAATTTTGTGTTTCCTGCCAATTTGCATTGCATTTTGGGATTCCATTATGTAATACTAGATGGAGTTCACTGACTCCAGTGGAGAATTGGTGAGGAGATGGAGATAAACAGCATTTACACCTTATTTTGTAGTTTTATCCACATGGTGTATATGTCCAATTTTTATCATTAAATAAAAAAAATTCCCCACTTTTCCCAAGACTTTGAACACTTTTCCTGCATTGAGCAAGGTTTAAATTTAGTCAAACATTTGTTTTTGTCTTGGTGCACGAGCAAAATCCTTTGGTGCACGGGGTGTGAAGTTAGGGAGGAATGACACAAAATAACTTAAACAAGTTATTATTTTATTGAAGCTATTTTGGAAAAATAACGTGTTTGAGTTATTCAGGCTGGGAAAAAGTAGGTCATAGCAAAGAGAAGTAACTCATTTAGACAAAAAAATAACTTATTCGAGTTATTTTTGAAAATAACTTGTTTAAGTTATGCCCCTGACTGATTATTGATAAAAATGTTTAAAAAATATTTTAAGAAAAAAAAAACTAATTCATTCAAGGACCTATATACTAACGTTAGTTTATAGGTCCCTGATTCATTTGAAAATTATTATACTTTTTTTACAGTGGTTAGATTTTTAAAATGTACTATTTTTATAGATTATATGTATATTATATTTATATGTCTATTATTTTCTACAAAAGAGATCAAATCCAAATTACATTATTATGATTCTTTGAAATTCAACAAAAATTAATAGTATTGCAAATATGTGTCACTCTGTTTTGGGGGGTGCCAGTCACAGCTGACTAAATAAAAGCCAGTTGAGTATGTTTACTTAGAATACACTTGTAGGAATAAGAAACAAAAGACCATTTCACACCTCCTTTTCAATAATCTGCTGATCGTCAATTTGCAATCATATACAGCTACTATTGTGTATTTCTTGACAACATGACAAAAGGATTGTACACAAGTTAGGAAAACTTAGATATTCCTCTCTAAACTGTACATAAAATCTGAATAGTCATACAACATTTACTATTAAGTTTTTTACTATATGAAACCTGTACATAGAAGAACAAAAGCAGTTTTTTAAAATATAATTGAAGAATATCAATTTATTTATATTTAATAATTGATTAAAAATTAAGATGATACAATTTTATGTTGAGATTGTTACAAATAATAAGTGATTTCTATAGATGATAAAATGATGCTGTTATTGTTTATAATCTTGTCTTGAAAATAACGTTATATTTAAAAACAATGCTGTTATATTTTTAATTAAAAAAATTAAAAGATGAAGATACGGATATTTCAAGGAATAAAATTTTAAAAAAATCATTTCAAATTTGGTATTCAAATGTATGAATCTGTGGAGAAAAGTGTGTATATGCATAGGATTATACAGAATTTAATCATGCATATATCACTGAGATTTCATAAAAACTTATTAGAGTGTATACATGAATTAATAGTTTTCTTGGAAAAAAAATGGACACTCCAAGAAAGAAAAATATAATATTATCTTTATATATACTCACACACAAATATATATCAATATATATATATCAAATTATCACTGCATATATACTTTTTCTATAAATGCCATTTTGACTAAGTGCCGTTTTCACTAAGTGCCGTTTTCAGCAAGTGCCATTTTGCATAATCCAGGTGCCTTTTTCACTAGGTGCCGTTTTTACCAGGTACCGTTTGAACCATAATTCCACCATGTACTTTTGTGGGATTCAAAATAACGAAGTAAAAGTTTAAACCCTTTGGTTTAGATTTTTTTTTCTTTTTTGCATGCAATCTAGTAGTAGTAATTGGGTATATGACCATTAGTGGTTTCAAATTGACTTTACACTTTGTGGACAGTATATATTCTCTTTACGACTTTAGACAAGTGGACAATCATGCTTTTGCTTAGGCGAAAGCCTGTCCACTTCTCTAAAGAGAATAACTTTGCAGTTGATATTAAGAGAAATATTGAACATGTACTGATCATGTTTATTAATTGTTTTGTAGGTTTTGTTGTTGGCCAGGCAGGGATTCTAGAAGCAGTGTTACAGCTCGTTTTAGCTTATTTTATTTTAGTAATGACAGTGCTGTCAATCAGTGCCATATCAACCAATGGAGCATTAGAAGGAGGCGGGGCTTACTGTATCCTTTCGAGTTCATTTCTAATTGTAAAAGATCACAAAATTTTTTTTCAATACATGCATTACATTTGATTAGAAAAGGTAAAAATCAAAATGTTTTGAATGTAACATCAACTTGTACTTTTTTTTTTACAACTTGGAGTAGCTTTCCATTGATTGAAGTACTGTAAACCAACTTTTATTCGTGTTTGAGAAATATTCGCGAGTTTGCAACCTACTTTATGTTGCAAATATCAATTGCTGCGAACCATTTATTTTGCTTTGTTTTTATAGAAAATGTTTCCTTTTCAGTGAAAATTAATCGTTGCGGATTGACTTCAAACTGACGAATCGCGATTATAAAAGATGACTCAAATAATAATTGGTTTACAATATTGACTGGACAGAGTTGATTTTTCTATTTGAAGTATAGTATAATTAAGTGACATATCATTGTATTCAATACATTCAACTCCAGGCTCAACAGAAAAGCCAGTTTTATCGAAACTTGCATTCCTATTTGAAGGGAGTTCTAATTTGTTTATAAATAAAGGGAGATGTAAATATTATAACAAATTCAAACTGGGTACAAGTCAACTTAAAATACATGTAAATGAAATTGTTGTGAGATAAAATTAATTCAGCATATTAGCAAACCTATTCCTTATCGTAATACAGACATGATAAGCCGGGCTTTGGGGCCAGAATTTGGAGGAAGCATTGGTTTTCTGTTCTTTGTGGCCAATGTTTTAGCTGTAGGTCTTTATGTCACTGGCTTTGTGGAAGCCATGATTGAGAATTTTGGACCAGGAGGTAATATTTCCCGATGATAGTTTACATTCAGTAGCTTTGTGTTTGTGTGTGCACAATTCTCTTATAAAGTGTGACTTAAATTCATTAATCACTCATTTGAGAAAGTATTTATTTAATAATTCAATACTTTAATAAACATTATCTTTAAGTTAAGTACTGATATAAAATCCAGTACAATACAAGAGACTTTTGCTAAAATTCACAACTCTGCCCTTGGTATTTAAGTAATTAAAACATTTCGTTATTGTTTTTGCTCTCTTGAGTGTCATATTGTCATATTTATTGCAGAAGACAAATTACTGAAATAACTCTTTGATAACACCAAAAAAAAGTAAACCAAATACCGTGTAAGTGGAAATTTTAGTGAGACACAAATTTAGCGATTTGTCCTTAGAAAATGGTATTTCATTTCTAGCGAGATGTAATTTTAGCAATTTTAAAATGCACTATTAAAAACCTATCACAAACAAGAGGCCCACGGGCCTTATAGGTCACCTGAGTATTGTGTAACAACTTTCAAACAATTAAATTTGGTTCCTGTTTTAAACCAGAGGCCATGAAATTCACAATTCACAATTTTGAAAGAGGCACCATTGCTTATCATAATTATTAACTTAGCATGCTTACTCTATTTACTTAATACCCAGAGGTAGATCAGAGTAACAAAGAGAAAATGCACTTCCACTTTATACCCAGGTGTGCACCTCACCCCAAAGGAACACTGACCCAGAGGCCACATATTTCAAAATTTTGCAAATTTTATAATAAAATGGTTGATTAATACCAAAGAGCAGATTTCAAAGCATTAATTTATTTTCAGACTATGTAACCCCCCCCACCCCGACCCAGGGGGCATAAAAAAACCACTTTGCTAGATGCACCTTTCTTCATCATAAATATATATACTTGGAACATTGGCATAAAACCCAGAAGCAAAGGAAAATATTTTCAAAGAATTAATGTCTTTTTACTATATAATCAATAGAGCCCCGCCCTAACACCAGAACCCCTGTTCCTGGGGCCATAAAATTCACAATTTTAGAAGAGGCACTCTTGCTCATCATAACGATGTGCTTAGTTAGTTTATTGAATACCCAGGAGCAGAGAAGAAGATTTTCAAAGAATTAATGCATTTTCACTATATAATCAATAGAGCCCCAACCTAACACCAGAACCCCTGACCCTGGGGCCATAAAATTCACAAATCTGGAAGAGGCACTCTTGCTCATCATAACTATGTACTTAGATAATTTATTTAATACCCAGGAGCAGAGAAGAATATTTTCAAAATAATGCATTTTCACTATATAATCTATATAGCCCCGCCCTAGCACTAGAACCCCTTACCCTGCATGGGGCTATGAATTTCACAATTTTGGTAGAGGACTCAATGCCCATTACATTCATGCTAACAGTCTGCTTGCTTTATGTCCAGGAGTAAAGAAGAAGATTTTTAAAGATTGCAATAATTTTAGTTGTTTTGGCCCCACCCCTCAGGCCCCAGGGGGGCGGGGACCATGAAATTCACAATTTTTGTTCCCCTTCACCCATAGATGCTGTATACCAAATTTGGTTGAAACTGGTTCAGTGGTTTCAGAGAAGAAGCTGAAAATGTTCAAATGTTAACACACGACGGACAACGATGGACGAAAACGCATAGCAATAGGTCACCTGAGTTACTCAGGTGACAATTAATTTTTAGCGATATTCAATTTTAGCGATCTAATAAAGCTGTCTTATAATGCCAAAATTAAATCCTGGCAAAAAATTCTGCTTATACTTTTATATTTTTTTCATATTCAACAGGGACCATGGTAGACCAGCCATTTTTAAAGGGTGACCATGATTTCTGGTACAAGTACCTGTACTGTACAATCGTCTTGTTTGTGTGTCTGGGTATCTGTATTGTTGGAGGTGCCATGTTTGCCAAAACCTCACTGTTAATATTTATGGTAGGTATATACATCTACATTATAATTTAAATGATTATGTAAAACTAATCCAGGGTTTGTTTTTGAAGTACATTTATAAAAATTTGCACATTCATCACTTGTCTTTAAAGGATACAAAATGTAAATTGCATTGTCTCTTTTCATTTTTTAAATCTCCAAACTCTAGGCACATTTACACTTCAGAAATATATTTCCTGTCTGAATTAGATTTTTCCTTCTTTTTTTATGAGAAGTAAAACGGAAACAGGAAATTCTTGTCTTTTAAACTAATGAAAACATCTATTTTCTGCATACATGTAACGTGTACTACTACAACTACAAGTACATACAAACTGTATACCCAAAGTTTTTTTTGTGTTTAAAAGATGTACTAGATCTAGCATGTTTTCGTACATGTACGAGGGTCACTCAAAAAGTTCATAGACTTTTGTCCTAACTTTTTTATTTAACGTCATATTATATCCAAAGAGGTAGGTTCACTAACTCCATAAATTGGCCCTGTCAATATACCATTTAACTAACCAGATCCTAACGTCCCATTTCGAACATCAACATAAAGTAGAGACTTAGTGCTTTCATTTCCTGTAAAAAATTTTCCTCTAGGTGTCTAAGTCTAAGAAACTCAGGCGTTGTGAAACTGCAATGATCTTGATTTTTGAAGAAAATGGGTGAAATTGAGCATCTTCAACTGTCGATAAAAATATGAGCCCACCCCGCGATCCAAAAAATTTTTTATGGATTAGAATCTTCTGAAACAGTTCATTCATAATATAATTGAACATTTTAGATCAGAAGTTGGGGGCTATGCAAAATATTCACATACAACTTAAATTTTTGGGGTACCTGTAAAGTGCGAAACGAAATAGAAACGAAACGAAACGAACTGAAACGAAACGAAATCTGCCGAAACGAAACGAAATCTACCGAAACGAAACGAAACCTACCGAAACGAAACGAAATCTACCGAAACGAAACGAAATCAAGATGAAACGAAGAAAAATCAAAACGAAACCTGCCGAAACGAAACTAAACTTTCAGAATTTTTTTTTTCAAATCAAGGTACATGTATGATGTATATAATTATATATGTGTAACTTCATGTGGACTTTTTTATACTTCAAATAAGATTTATATAGTTCAAGCACTTAATATGAATTTTAATTTAATTACAGATTATGCTCCCTTCTCAGTCTAATGATGTATTTACATGTTTGCCAGCTGCAAATATGCACGAGCGTACTATGCATGTATAATTTCAATAATTTTTATATCTTACTCTTATTTTCAGTCCTTATTTATCTAGATACAACATATCTATCAAAATTGATGTGTTACATGTAAAGGCTCGTTTGTGTACGGGTCGAAATAAAGTCACTGTACTGTCATATTGCGAATGTCTTAAAACATAGGATAAACCAGAGACTTAGAGTAATTAGTATTCCATTCCGAGGTGTCTGGTTTTTCCGTTCAATTATACATGTAACTCCAACCGGAATCTTGTGTATCTTTTCTTCGTATATACGGTCCTATTTTTATCGAGGTAATTTCGAGGAAGAAATGATTGGTTTGCAATGAAGAGGCTCGACCAGAGACGTCCAAAACGATTTAACTGACAAGAAAAAAGTCTCTCGAAGCGAACAATGTCACTTTTTAGTAGGTAAATTATTCAATAAGATATATACAAAATATGACATAGGCGTCGGAAGCGGGGTGGGGGTGGTTGGGTTAGCCCCCCCCCCCCCCCAATTTTTTTTCCAAAATAATTTTTATTTAAATTTTAAAATTTTTGGGGGTTTGCCCCCACCCCCCCCCCTCCTTTCAATTTCCTTCCGACGCCTATGTATGAGCTTGAAGCGAAACAATTGCCTGTGGTGCTTGAACTATATAAATTTCATATAAAGTAAAAATAGACCATATAAACATTCTGATAGTTTTGTTTCGTTTCGTTTCGGCAGGTTTCGTTTTGACTTCGTTTCGTTTCGTTTTGATTTCGTTTCGTTTCGGTAGGTTTCGTTTCGTTTCGGTAGATTTCGTTTCGTTTCGGCAGATTTCGTTTCGTTTCAGTTCGTTTCGTTTCTATTTCGTTTCGCACTTTACAGGTACCCAAATTTTTGGTCACTTTAAAGAAATTTTCAAGATTTGAAGAAAATGACGAAATTCATGACGTCATAATACATGGACAAGAGAAAAAATTACGTCATTTTTATTTGATATGAAGTCACCAAGGGTCCTAGTGAAATTTAACATATTTTAAACTAAAACAGAAGTAGTTCTGATTTTTCAGAAATTCACAGGGCCAAAAGTTGCACAAGGTGAACTTTGTTCCTTGGTACAAATATTTTAAAAACAGATTCAAATAATATGAGTAAAAAAATTAGAATGTATCTTCATATTTATTAAAATTACCAAGGATTTAGAACAGCAAAAATGGGGTCACGGAGCACCGTCAAAATTGAGTAATTTACTAATTTTCACTTTATAGTATTTACAGCCATACCTCTAATAAATAGAGCTGAAACGAAATAAAATTTACATGTTTAAATGAAGTATTGCTGTATTAATTAAAATGAAATCAGGTTATGTAATATGTCGCTCCATTTAAAAGATACCAGTTTCTAAATACATATGGACTTGATTAAAAAAAGCAAAAAACCATGACGTTGGAGGACGTCATGGACCAGCAACTAGCAAAAAAATTTGTACTGTACATTCGGGAAACTTCTTCTACAAGCTTAAAAAATCCGTATAAACCAGGATCTGTATGAAAAATAATCTGTGTATTTGTATTAAATGGAAAATACAATTTTTGAGTGGTAGCGAGTTTGAATCGGATGATGGATTGTCTGCAAAGAAACATGTTAAAGTTAAAATATTGTCGAAAGAGTTAGGAACGTCATTGAACGTGATGTGTGCTTCACTGTTGCAGAATTAATAGAGTTACATGGTAAATTTGAATTTGAAAACAATGACATTCTTATTCAAGCTATATTTGTACAATTGTTCGCAAACTAGGTGTTAAGTGTTATGGATATGTTTTTTTGAATGTAGAAGACGCTACAAACCGTGTTTGAAATTAAGAAAATTAGTATAATTTTGACAAACTTTCTCAACATTGTCTTTGACGTTACCGTTGGTTAACCGTGCTCCGTGGTAACAAAACATGTTGTTTTAAATTTTGGCTAACATGAGTTCTATTTAATCAAATGGAATGAAACTTCACACTTCCACAAAATAAATGTTTATGTTTACGAAAATGTGTTGATCTATAATCTTGTAATAATTATTTGACGATGAGAAGCATTGTCTACGTATTTTTTGAATGACCCTCGTATAAGTACTTGCACTTAAAGACCAATTACAGCTCCGTACAAAAATAAATTTTACCAAATTGAATAGTACTTTGTTTAAATATGGTAATACTAAAATATGAGATTCACGATTTCACGTAAACCGAACATTTATGGAAATTGTATGCCTAATAAACAGTATAAGCTTTAATTTGATTTTGAAATAAAACTGAATAAGTTACTAAACAAATTATATCAATGCACAAATATATATAAATTTTAGACTTGTAAATATCTCCTGGGGCCCACTCGATTGGGACCCTTCTTATTCCAAAATATTTACATCCACTTTATATCTTTAGAAAACCCATTGCGTTAATCACTGCATGAACTACATTAGGCATGTCGCCTGTACAGATTTCTTGATCAGTGGCTGTTCCATCAATGAAACGTATAAAGATGTTCGCATCATTAATACAATAATTAAACTTTTTAATCCTTCTTTAAATGATAATTTATACAGATAAAAATATAAACAATAAAATGCTTTCTTTGTTTGTTATTACTGGAATTAACGGTCGCAGCTACTGCAGAAAAAATTTACATATAACCCGCTTACGTGGGTTATGTATTTTTTCTGCAACAGCTGCTTCCGTTAATTCCAGTAATAACAAACAAAGAAAGCATTTTATTGTTTAAATAATTACCATTCTGTCTGCTCGATTGGTTTGGTAGGGTAGACTGAGAAGGCCTTCTCAGCCTTCCACACCAAAGATGGAAGGATAGCATTCCAATATGGCGTAAGCGGGTGGGTGAAAACTTTGGTGACTTTAATTATTGTAAATAAACCAAACTTAAAACAAAATACAGTTGCAAAAAAGTATTTTTATAATGTATGAAGGGTAATTCTGTAAAGAAGCATTTAATTGCAGTAAAAACAACCACTGAATAGTTTCATAATTTACCATGTAATATGAGGTGAAGATTTGAGCCTTAAATAGGTCCCTTATTTGACCATAATTATTTTTTAAAAAATTATACATGTAGTTTAATATTCTTCTGTCTCAGGCTCTTTAAGATTTAACCTTTCTTTACATAAATGAAAAAAATTACCAAAACTATTATATTAAAATAATTTTTTTCCACTTTTAATTATCTCTTCAAGTTTCCCTTTTGAACTAAAATTTAATGCTTTAAATTAAAGGATTTAAATTCTTGAAAAACAACTGCAGTAATTAAAAACATTGCAGATAATATTTCATCATATTCAATACCCTTCTGAATATCGATTTAGACATACATATTCCAACCCTTTCAACATTCCAATCTGCTTCTAGAAGGGTTCCAATTGAGTGGGCCCCTTGAATATAACAAGAGAATTTTTATGTCTGATAGAAAATGAAAGTAGTAAGGCCATTTAAAACAAGGGCACTACAAAGCGGGTGTTGCTAAAACGCGGAACGGAAAACGGAACGGAACGGAAAACGGAATTTATTATTTTGGATTAAATCATTTAAAATGCATAAATTTTATCATAAACGATATATCTTGTACACATTCAATCCCCCACTATTTAATAAAAGTTGAATTTGTCATGCTCATCTCTTATTTACGAAAATCGCTAGCATAGCAGTCACCTAGAATCGAATTTGAAAAGGGGGAGGGGGGTAAACGAACTTGAAAAGTATTTGACAAGCAAAAACACAAAAAGAAGACAGTTGTATGATTCATGCAGGAGGGGCATAAAACACAAAAAGA